TTTCTAAAAGTGTGCCATCCGTCTTCAAACTCGCTGGACGAGCCAGACTGTTACACCTTTTCCCTCTTTTTTTAACGATTGTCAATTAATCCGGGATCCCGCAGAGACAGCAAGCAGCCGTTGTCTCTCTTTAACTACCTGCAGAAGGACCGATCGCTGATCGCTGTTTTCTTCACATAAGTCGACTTTGCTGATCCGGTACGCTGCCAGACGAGGGACCAGCCGCCGTTAGTCTGGGACCAGACCACGAGGCTCGAGGACCAAGCTGAATCAGCATCCATTCAACGCAACGTAAGGGCATTTAATTCAAACGTCTGGGCAGAGACAGTTTAGTTGTGTTATTATTATTACTATTATTAGTATTATTTTGTGTAATCATCACCGTTATAAACTGTACCTTTATCCTCACATTACTGTATAACTCACACACACACACACACACACACACACACACACACACACACCTATACACGTGTTTTGGGGACCAGATGACGGTACCCCAGCAATTAGACACGTATCATAAATCACACAGTCCATTTAAACTGACCGCCATGCTGGGAAGGCAGTGTAGCGTCATCAGTGAGACTTCGTCATCACTGTAACGTTACCTCCTCCTCCATCTAGGCCGTCACCTTGATACACACCTCCCCTCGCGTGGGTGTGTCTCGCCTACCTCTCCTGACCCCCTCTCTCCCTCACACACACACGTACACACACACACACACACACACACACACACACACACACACACACACACACACACACACACACACACACACACACACACACACACACTATATCCAGGCATTCCTGTTCGCCAATCTTTGATTTCTTTAGTAGTGGTAATACCGATTATAATTATATGATAACAGTTAAATTGATGATTCATTGTTAAATAAACTGCATTATATTTTCAATAGTCGGTTTCTGTGGTCATTGTGTGGAGTGTTATTGTACAATTTGCTGGTTGGCGGGTTCAGTGCTTGCATCCACGCCTTCATATGTATGGTTTCCCCTTTGATTTAAATATTTAGATATTAAAGTTAAAGTAACCTACATGTAATTTTCAGACTGTAAATTGCAGATTTGATTGATTAGTCCCTGGTAACAGGGTGGTGCCCCGAGGAACATTCTGTAATTAATAATCAAAATATTAATTACGTAATTACCCAAATGATTAATTTGAATTATTAAATTTTTGGAAATAGTGCAGGATGAAGCTTTAGCTTTCTGTTGAGCAAATATTTCATTTGATCATTTCTTTTTGAACACAGAGTCCCAGGGGGTGTAGAGAGATTCCTGCAGGCGCAACCCGGTCTCACTCCCAAGTGGTCAAATCCTGCAGCTCGGTCAGTGGCCCTCCGCTTCAAAATGTGACGCTGTAGGTATCCAGCAGCAGAACAAAGAGGAGGATCTGAATCTTTATCTCAAACATCTTCTTTGGAATTTGTTCTTCTATTATACAAAATGACTTTTACTTTTCATCTGTTTCTGTTTAGTTTGTACTTTTATTGTTTTCTCTTGATTTGATTTCATCATTGTGCTTCTGTTTGTATCCTTTCTCCTCACTGTGTGGAACAACAATAAACCTGCTGAAATATCTGATCAAAATATCAATCAATAGAATATGAAATCAATCCTGACAGCAGGAAAGAAAATCAGTCCCTCAGTTCAGTATGTTTGTGACTCTGGCTGAGATGGAGGTGAAAAATGTGAACCTGGGCTGTGGTTTACTGCTCTCTTCCTGTCACACACACTGTTTGACATCTGTTGGTTTTTGTTCAGGCTGCAGGGATCATTTCTCACTGTGGGGAGCTTCCTTCCAACAGGAGCAGTAGTAGGTGGCTGAATGACTGAGTTCAACTGTCTTGATCTGCAACTCACAGCCGTTCTCTTTATTCACAGCTGAGAAATCATTTTTCTGAGGATGATTGTACCTGGTTTGTATGTTACAAGTGTTCTTGTTAAAATAAAGAATCCGTGTGAATGTTTCTGTGTCTTTCTTCTGGTACCAGCGTATATTATCACTGTCACACTGGTCAGTTCCTCCACAGCTGAAGGAGACGGTTTGACCAACTCTCCTGGTCAATGTTAAATCATCCTGACTCAGCTCTGCTGCCATGGCAACCAGCGCTGTAGAGAAACAGACAGATAGATGAAGGTTAGTGTGACAGTGTTTGTTAAAGGTTGACTTTGTTGGCTCCTGATTGGCTGGAAACACTCACCTGAACACAGACAGCACAGAGCAGCAGCTGGGAGGAAAAGCATTTTGTGCAGTGGTGTTTCCTCTGGTGAACCTGGGGAGAAGTGGCGCTCTGATGCAGCTGAGGCCAAACAAGGACGAGCTGTGAGATCAGACGAGGGCCACGTGGTTTCTAACAGGTCCTCAGACCTCCCATCAGCCCCTGCGGCCGACAGATAAGGCTGCCGCTGCTGATTGACAGCTCGGCTGAAGCTGCTGTGTGCTTTTCATTTCTTATTGACACTATTTCTCTTTGTTTTATTCTCATTATTTGGAGCTTTTTTCTGGATGATTCTTTTTTCCCAGACTTCTCTGTTTCTCTGAACTGATTCAGTGAGAAGTTTCTTCGTCTTGATTTGAATCTGACAGCAGATGAAAAATCTGGGTGACGATGATGCAGAAATAGAAAAAAGCATTCCTGTTGGCACAAACACATTCAGGTTGGTGGTGAATTTAGTAACACAGACTGTTATCTGTTGTTTAACAGCTGGGATGAAAATACAAAACTACAAATCCACAAAACTCCTCAACTGTGATTTGAAGCCTTAAACGTCCCCTTACATTTCTGTCATTTCATTTCATCATTTCATTTCTAGGACACATAAAACCTTTTCCACACACAGTATCACATCTTTATTGTGGATTCTGTTTGTAGTGCCCCTAATGCTAACCCAAAGGAAGTAGTAGTAGGGCAACTAACATCTAGCTAGGTCCGAGGTGTGGTGCCTTTAATAGCTCAGGACGAGTTAGTATGGGGATCGAACAGTTGACAGTATTTATTGCCTCACCCAACAATATCAACAGCAATTTAGATGGAATGAAAATAAAATCTAAACTAAAATAGAGCTCTCTCAGTTGTATAGTAAAATAAAAGAAATAGTCCTTTAAGGAGTCTGATATTGAGTTCAGAGTTCAGGGTTCAGTTCCTGATCCTTGTACGTGTGTGCACTGAGTCTGCTACTACCCGGGTAGAGTTAATAGTGTGTACGCAGTCTTATCTGTTCCTGAATGGGTAAAGTTGTCTGTGTCTGGTCGTGCGGCGGTCCTCACTGCGTCCCCGACCCTCCACAGTCACTCTGGGCTCGCCATCATTGGATCCTCTAGATTCTTTCTGGTAGCTCAATAAACCAACCTGCACAAGTAGTGCGAGTATTAAGTTACTCTGTTCTGTTCTTATTTCTAACATGAGACCTCATTAACTTATTTTCTTAGTGCATCAATAACCAGTGACTAGAACATACTTTGTTGACAATGGAATGAATTACCACATGTAATAGCAACTGGTACTTTAAGCACCAACAAATCTTAATCATGAATTTCTATAAACCTCAACAATTGGCTCATGCGCGTAAAGCTGCATGCTGCCTGTTACTCCAGCCTTTGAGTCTGCTTTTTTAACTTCTTAACTTTTATTCTCTTTTTGTTCATTCTTATTTTTTCACTGTAACTCTATGAAGTCCTGCCCTCTCTAACGAGGTTGTTTGAGAGAGTTTTTGTGTTTTAATAACGCTTCCACCGGGACACGCTGCCGTTGTTTACTCCAGAGAACAGCTGAACGCACTTATGCCTGCGACCACTTTACACTTGCCATTTTTGCATATTTGAAAGTGGGACTTTAAATTATACTATATATATATATACATATATATATATATGTATGTATATATATATGTATGTATATATATATACATACATATATATATATGTATATATATATATATATGTATATATATATATGTGTGTGTATGTCTATTATAGTATGGAGTAATATAATGAAAGTAATTTCCCCCTGGGATTATTAAAGGATGTCTGACTCTGATTCTGAATTGGTATTTTAACATCTACAAATTAATTATTTACCATCACTTTCTATATGTGACATTGTTTTTAACTGTTTCCAGACATCATTTTAATATTTTAGACTTTAAATATGAAATTTAATTGGATCACTACTAATGTATTTATCATGTACATTTTAATAAACAAAAGCAGCTCAAACACAGTGTAGTTGGGTTACAACTTATTAAAATGTATAACCAATTTAAAGCTGAATGATTTTAATATGAACACAATAAGTGCAATGCACCTTTAATATTTTTACTTACTTTTATTTTTACTTCACTTTATTTGCTAGTGATTAGCATTACAACTTTTTTAAGAACAGTGATACAATATTCATTAAGACTAACATTTAGCCTTAGGTTAACCATTACCCAATTTTATAATTATTTTAAATTATGTTATAGAATTCATCTTTACTATGTTCATATATTATTTTCCAGTGAATCCCTCACTTTCAACCTGTAGTTATCAGCTCATACTACAGTTTATATGACAGTACTTCTATCTGTTCTGTGCTGCTGTGAAGAATAAAACCTTCACTCTGCTGCCCTCTAGTGTCTGCAACAACACACTGCTTCAAACTGTACTGCTACTGTCACTACTACTACAACTGTTTCTACTATAAGTGCCTTCTGACAGGGGTGGACTGGCCATCTGGCATACCGGGCATCGTCCCCCAATGTGGGCCGTTGACCCAATGTGGTCCGGTCCGGTCCGGTCCGCTATGTTTTTTCTTTTCTTTCTCTCTCTAAATTCCCTCCAGTTGGGCCAATTGGCTACAGAGGGCTAGCAGTGTGTTGCCAGCATCGACACATATTATTGGTCTATGTTTGTCATTGTCAATCAATCAGTGCTGTCAATCACAACACAAATCAGGGTGGGCGGGACCTCATGGCATGGGCCGGAGTGGCGGGACGGGCTGCTGCTGAGCTGAAGATGGATAACCGTAAGAAACGCCCGGGTGGCGCTGAAACACTGCGACTTAAAAAGCTGAAGTCTCTGGAGGTGGAAGCTGCTAAATGTTGGACATTGACAGACCTATTTGGTGCCGGGGTCACCACCCCAGCAGGTGCTGCTGCGCCGGGAGACGAGCGAGTGGAGGCAGACATGGTGAGTAACGTTAGCCTGGTTTTTCCATTGAATGTGATGGGACCTCATTAACTGCATACTTGTGACAACATATTAGCCCAGAGTTGAAGGGCTGTGACTGTTGGTAGTTGTGCTTGATTTGGTTTAAATATGCCGAATTGTGATATTATGGGTTATTATTGTTCTAAGTTAGCCAACAGCTGCTTGTTGCCATAGCAACAGTAAGCATTGACATGGACTGATGACTGGAAATAGAGATGCAGAATCAAGCTGTATTGTAAATACAGATGAGATACTTTGAATTTGAGCACAAAATACAAGTAAACCTAGAGGAAATAATGAGTTTAATTTGCAATATTTGCCATTGAATTTATTGTAATCTTTCAATTCATGGGGTTAGAGACTTAATAATGTCTCCATGTCCCTCTCAGGTTGAACACTTGACATGTGAGAGCCTGAGGAGTTGTTCCCCCTCCGTCCATTTTCAAGGACTTGCTCTCTCTCTGCCTCCACTTCACCACTTTTTGGCTACTGAGACGTCTCTGATTGGTTGAGTATGTCATGTGTCTTATAATGTTATATGAATTCATACTTGATTTGTGATGATGACTTAATAATGTTTCCATGTCTCTTTTAGGTTGACCACCCTATATATGAGAGCCTAAGGAGTTGTTTTCCCTCTGTCCCCTTTTGAGGACCTGCTTTGTCTCCTCCATCATTCACTGGGCCACTTTTGGGTTCCTGAGCTTATTTCATGTGGTGAGAGGAATGCAATATGTGTATGTTTAAAGGTTTATGTGAAGAAACATACTATATGTGTGATAAAATGACAATTGGTAATTCATAAATGTCTCTTTATATTCTCTGCTACCATCATCTCCTGTCAAACAGGAGAGAGAGAGAGAGAGGTTATTATGCAACTTGTTTTGTCTCAGATTGAAACAAAAGGTTTGATTAGGATTATTTCCTGGTTGAAGATTTTCATATTGATGATTTGAATTTCAAACATCTGCATATCTTTTAAGTTCAATGAACAGTTATGCAGGTAGGCCTTAGGGCTCTTTTGAGACTTCAGTCATCCTTCATGACAGATACATTTGTTCACTAAGTGTCACTACATCACAAAAAGGCTACATGGCTACATATACTTGTCAGTACACAGATACTGAGTACAAGTTGTGTTTGCTGTTTCTTGCAGGTCATGAATTTGGTGAGGAGTGGAGCTGGCTGGCTGCGGACGAGGAAGTAGGGCAATATATACATGTGCACATACACGTATATGAGAATGCATATCTATTCAGACCTGTAATTCATGTCTTAGACTTTTTCACACAGCTATAGATCATTATTTGTTTTTCAATTCTCTATTTATGGTTTCATAATGACTGAGTCACCGTTAAAACAAATGAGTTTCAGCTCTAATGCTGCTACTGTCTGTAATATGTTTCTATTTAGATTATTTGTCAGGAGATTTTGTTATTATTGTCCCAGTCTGCTTTTAACTAATGCTGGGCTTACACCAAAAGATTTTCACAGTCACAGACTAAAAACTGAAAGGGTAGCATGAGGGTTCTTCCCGTTAGTCTCGTCCCACCCCTAGTCATGACATAACTTCTGTTGTGATTTGACACTATAATGAATAAAGACTGATTGATTGATTGCTATAGCTGTCAATTTTAGTCCTTGAGTTCATAGTTACGTGCTTTATTTGTTAACTGCTATCAAGGAATATGACTCTCCTTTGTAGTATGCATGAGAGGAGATGCTGCGAGATTTGTGGACTTCTATGTAGTGTCTGCTGATAATGTAGTGGGCTGGTCTGGACACAAAATGCCAGGGCTGAATTTTTGTCCCAGTCCACCCCTGCCTTCTGATGTTGTTGAATTCATCTCTAGTATTTTGTTTCTATTTTAGATTTTATTGTTCAATCACACAGTCATTGAGAGTTACTGTTGCTTGATCAAACTGGTGTTTATGTAGAGCAGGGCCAATGAGCAGCATCTCAGTTTTATCAGAATTTAGGAGCAGGAAATGATGTGACATGTATTTTAACACAGCAGGCAGCAGTCCTCTAATTTAATAAAAAGAGGTAAAATGGTGCCCCGTGTGAGGCACAGTACTGGAGGCAATTATTCCTAATTGTGCAACATTAATATTTCAGCAGGTCGTCCACAGAATTTGGAAGGTTGTTGGTTCGATGCCTGGCTCCTCCGTTGCATGTCAAAGTGTCCTTGAGCAAGATACTGAATGAGTTAGTTTCTGTTCGATGGGCTTTGACATCACTGTGTGAATGTGTGTGAAAAGGGCCGAATGTGGCTGTAGTGGAAAAAGTGCTTTGAGTGGTCAGAAGACTAGAAAGGCGCTACACAAGTACAGTCCATTAACCTATTAGACGGATCAGCTGAGTGAAGATCTTCTCACTGTCCTCCACTGCTTTATCAGCAGAGCGACTGATAGCCTCCACCTCACGCTCCTCTACAGCTACAAAGGGACCCATCTTTGGCCCAATCTTTCTGACTGAACATGCATTTTTGTTGTTTAGTTGAATATTTTGAATACAAATTGTTTGTGTGTCTTGAGGGGTTAGCCAGAACCAGCCTGGTTTGCCACTGTGGCAGCTACATTAGGACTCAGCTAACAGCAGCTACATTAGCAGTAAGAGTTAAGGTAGGTAGAGCAGCCGGAGGACGTCAGTGGGAAAACCAGACGATATTTCCTTCATAAAATATGATGCAGTTTCACCCAAATCACTGATGAAGTTGTGTTTCTGTACAGTAATCAGTGAGCTCTGGCCCTCCAGAAACAATCTGCTCCGGTAGAGTTTGCTCTCTTTTAGGAGAAAGAGTTTTCAGGCTTTACTGCATTCTACAAAAGTACATTTCTGGGAGAGGTAGGGTTTCTTATTGTGCATTACATAGTTCTTAAGAAGGATTGAAAATAATGCTTCATTTTTGAAATTCATTATTCACTTTTGGTCAGTGGCGGACTGGTGGCCTGGCCGCCCAACTGGCCCGCTCGGCAATTGCAGATGGTCGATACCAAAGGCTCGGTTCGGGTTGCGCTTGATTTTGAAATAAACAACACACACACACCTCCTCCCTCACCTGTAGTTCTACATGCTTGGAAAATGGAGCGAGATGGACAGCCCAAGAGGAAAGGTGGAGCAGAGAGGGAGAGGCTTAAAAAGCTAAAAGCACTGACCACAGATCAGCGAAGTGCTGTAACATAACTGATGTTTGTCAGTAAGGGAGCAGGTCAGACATTAAACACTAGTGGAGACAACAGACACACAACCAGAGCCTATCCAGCACCACCAGCTTCATGAGGAGGTTAGTTCCACTTTGACTAATACAAACTGACTTAATAAAACTAATGTTTTAAGTTGTAACAAAGGATATTGCAAATTTTTGAATATTGTTAACTAACATAGACACAACATAATAAATGATATGAATACTGAAATCCTTGTATTATATTATTTCATTTAACCTTTACTTCACCAGGTAAAATCCCATTGAGATTAAGAACATATTTGTTGTTATATGAACATAACCAATGCTTATAAAAATGGTCAATTAGTGAATTTGAATAAATGGAAATGATGGGTGGCTTTTGGATTTTTCTTTACAAAGGTGGAGAAGGGAGCAGTGTGAGTGAGTGAACGTTGTAACCTTTTCTTTCTTTCTTTTTTTACTCACTGTGACTATTGTATCATATTTTACATTTCTTTCTGTGTGTGTTTGAAGTTTCCTTGTTTAATGTTACAGAGAATAAACCTACACATCTGCAGTGCGCCACCTGTGTACCTCTCACTGTTGCTATGATACTATGGTTGACACAGTGGTCAAATTTATAACTAGTCTGGTACCTGTTACATTAAAAATAGGATTGGTCTCAAGTTTAGGTGGATTAAAAGTGTAGTAGTAAATAGAAATTTCAGTTTATGTGATTTGAGTACAGGTTATTGCAGCACAACAGAAACATTTATTTTGTAGGGGAAAGAAACAGAAAAAGCTGTGTGTGGGCGCATGTGGAGCCTTTGCTTTATTATTTTACACTCTTACATCGGTAGGCGCCCAACCTAACTCACTCTGGGTGTTTTGCGTTAATCGGGTGGTGGTGGCCTGGGATGGTACTAAATTCCCGGCCTGAATTATTGTCCCAGTCCGCCCCTGCTTTTGGTGATTGGAGTCATCTGGATACCCTTGCACTTCCTCTGACTAACCACAGGGTGGTGGTGTTTCTCTCTGATGTTTAATTCATTAAATCAGTCATTAAATTTAATGTATTATTATTTTATGTTATTTATTGCTGACTCATAAGATTGTTTAAAATCCAGATCATGAAGAAACTTGTCAACAGAGGTCAAGGAGCCAGAAATCCCCTCCCCTAATGAGTAAAATAAACAATAAAAACAAAAAATTAGGCATCATGAATTAATCATCAAGAGAGAAACATGTCTTGAAATAATATCTGTTAATTCAATTTGAAGAAACGATGATGGTAGAGAAAAACACAAATATCTGATGAATAAAATGTCATATACTGACACAATGTTCAGTTTTCTGATAAGAAGGACAGAGGCCTCGTTAGAGTTTGAGAGAGTTGACAATCTTACAAATTGTTTTTTTCAGCAAAAAAGTTCATTAGTAGTTTTCTGATGATCCCTGTTTAAGTTTTTTCCAATTTAATTTCTTATCAGTTGAGAAACTTGAGATATGTATTTTCCCTCTACTGACACTAGCATAATCTCCGTCATACCTCCTGCCCCTTCCCACAATCATTATGAAATCTCACTTTTTAATATTTAATGTGCAATGTGAAACCATCTTGAAACTGTCACCAATTCCTCATTTAATTTCACTTACTAGAGTGTGTAAGTTCAGATTGCAGAAAACAAAAAAGGAAAACAAAACTTAGAAACTAATGAAAAATCATTCCTATACATTTTTAGAAAACAATATTTAAGCAGAGAGTTTGAGGAGTTCATGAATGTGTACAGCAGCAGATATGAATCTGTTCTCAGTGGTTATTAGGACTCATAAAAAACTGTTGACAGCGAATCAACACTTCCTTTCCTGCAGCAGACGGGCTGTGTGGGTTTCCTCTCTGCAGCCTCCTCACCGTTAGCTGCACTTTTTCACATTAATAACACAATGACAGTTACAACCATCGACTCTGGTTAAAGAATCATTCCAGGAACTTCAGTTTGATTTCAGCTCTCAGTACTCACTGTGAAAGTTGTCTTTAATTCAAACAGTTTTATTGATTCTGTAAAGGTGACAGTTTAATGATAGTTTCTCCAGCCTGACTCCAACTTGTAACATAATACAACATATTAGGACATGTGGGAAAGGATCATAGCCTGCATACATTAACATCATCAATACAAAGACAATTTCTATGATTATACGAGTAACATTAAAAGTGGAAATAAACTAGAGCTAAACTAAACTAAACTAACACTACAGTAGCAAAGAATTTACACTAACAACCTCAAATATATATGTGTATGTGTATGTGTATGTATTTATATTTTCTGGAGCACTTTATTGAACCTGTTTTTTAAAAGATAGGTTTCCCAATGAACCACAAAATGAAATGAATTGAATGAAATAAATTGATGATATTTGACGGAGAGAAAAGGAGAGCAGAAAACAGTCAGTCAGCATGTGTGCAGTTGGTGGACGGTCCCTTGTTTCTGAGGATCATCAGCAGAGAGAGTCCACAGCAGTACACCAGACTCTTCACTATCAGCACTGTGTACATCAGACAGAGCAGCCTCACCTGCCAATGAAGGACAGAACCTGGAACCTCTGAAACAGAAAAGGAGTCAAAAAGAAATGTCAGTCCTCTGCCCCTCTGCTCTCTTTGACAGCGTCTCCACATGAAGCTGAATCACTGCTGAACACAGTCACCAAACCTTCATTACCTTGTTTTATTTGGGCCTTCACTGTTCCCCCCTCATGATGGACGGAGCAGCGGTATTTATATGTGTGGAGAGGGTCCTGATCAACAACTCTGATGGCGGTGGTGCGTCCCGACTCTCTGAGCTCCAGCTGCTCTCCCTCAGCAGAGGTCACGTCTTCCTCATTACCATTGTCCTTTTGTCTTTTCCAGGAGAACCGGACCAGAGGAGGAAACATGTCTGAGGCCACACACAGCAGGGAGGTCTTCCCCTCCAGGTGGGCTCTGGATGCTGCTGGGTACACGCTCACCACGGGCTTCACTATCTGCTCATCTGAAGTTTG